GGAGTATTATGATCAAAGGAATGCCCTGTTTTAAGTGTATCTGCTGTGAATTCCATTGTAATCACAGGTAATCCTGTAGTGAATATTATGATCAGAGGAAAATGTTGTTTTAGATGTATTTGTGGTAAAGTCCATTATGATCACAGAAAAGTACTGTTGTAATTGATCTACTGTAAAGAGAATTATGACAAAGGAAAGCTTTGTTTTGGTTTATCTTTTGTAAAAAGTATAATGATTACAGGAAAACACTATTTTAGGAGTATCTGCTGTAGAGGGTATTATGGTCACAGGAAAGCACTGTCGAGGGTATATCTGATGGAGAGAACACTACAATTACAAGAAAGGACTGCTATAGGTTTATATGCTGTCTAAAACATTATGATTACAGGAAAGAACTATTGTAAGGTTATCCGATGTAGAGGGCGTTATGTTCACAGGAAAACACCGTTTTAGGTGTCTCTGCCATATAAAGCATTGTGATCACATAAAAGCACTGTTATGGGAATATCCAATGTAGAAAGCATTATAATCAGGGAGAGCACTATTTTAGGTGTATCTGCTATAGAGAGTACTTATGACAACGGTAAGTCATTGTTTTAGGCTTATCTTCTGTAAAGATAATTATGATTACAGGAAAACACTGTTTTAGGTGTATTTGTTGTAGAGAGATCATTCTCTAAGATGTATGTCTGGTAGAGAGTATTTTGATAAAAAGAAAGTAATATCTTAGGAGTACCTGCAACTGAGAAACCTGAACAGCTTTACGTGTATATGCTGTAGAGAACATTATGATCAAACGAAAGCACTATTTTAGGCGTATCTGGTACAGAGAGCATTAATATAAAGGGAATGCTCTGTTTTAAATCTTTGTGCTGTAGAGAGAGCATTATGATCAAACGAAAGCACTATTTTAGGTGTATCTGGTACAGAGAGCATTAATATAAAGGGAATGCTCTGTTTTAAATCTTTGTGCTGTAGAGAGAGCATTATGATTAATGGAAGAACTGTTGTAAAGAGTATTGCGAGCAGAGGAAAGCAATGTTTTAGTTGTATAAACTGTAGAAAGTATTATGATCACAGGAAAGCATTGTTATAACTGCAGTTGCTGTTAAGAGTATTATTGTCACAGAAAGGCACTGTTGAAGATGAATATCTACTGTAGAGAATATTATGATCAAAGAAAAGCACTGTTAATAGATGTATCTGCTATAGGAAGCATTATAATCAACGGAATGATCTGATTTAGATTAATCTGCTGTAGAAAGTATTATGCCACAGGAAGACAGTTTTTAGGGGCATATACTCTAGAGAGCATTATGATCACAGGAAAGCTCAGTTTTGGGTATATCTGGTGTAGCGACATTATGATCATAGGAAAACACTGCTTTAGAGTGCATCATGATCTCAGGAAAGCACTTTTATATTTTAGGTATGTCTACTGCTAAAAGCATCATAATCACAAGAAAGTATTGCTGTAAGTTTATCTGATGTAGATAGTATTATGATCAAAGTAAAGCACTGTTATGGGTATATCCGATGTAGAGAGCATTATAATCACAGTATAGCACTATTTTAGGTGTACCTACAATCGAGAGTATTATAATAACTGGATAGCTTTGTTTTTATGATCAAAGGAAAGCACTAATCACAGTAAAGAAATATTTAAATCGTATATTTTGTAGAATGATTATAATCACAGGAAAGAATTGTTTTAGGTGTAGATATTCTAGAAAGCATTATGATCAAAGGAAAGCGTTATTTTAGGTGTATCTGCAGTAGAGAACATAATGATCACTGCACAGTTACTTTTTATGTTTAAATGCTGTAGCGAGATCATGATCATAGGAAAGCGCTATTTTTGACGTACTGCTGTAGAGTGTGTTTTGATCAAAAGAAAGCAGTGTTTTAGGTGTATCTGTTGCAAAGAGCATTACGATCAAAGGAATGCACTATTCTGGGTGTATGTTCCTTAGAAAATATTACGATCACAGGAGAGCATTGTTCCAGGTGTACCTACTGTATAGAGTATTATGATTACAGGAAAGCACTGTTGTAGGTGTATCTACTTTACAGAGTTTTACTATCGAAAGAAAGCACTGTTGTAGGTATATTTACTGTAGGGAGTACTATAATCAATTCTGTTTTAGATTAACCTACTGTAGAAAGTATTATGATCACGGGAAACCACTATGTTAAAGGTATATGTTTTAGAGAGCATTATGACTACAGGAAAGTTCTGGTTTAGGTGTATTTGTTGTAGCCACATTGTGATCACAGGAAAACACTACTTTAGGTTTATTTGCTGTACAAAGCATTATGATCAATGGAAAACACTGTTTTAGATTTATCTTCTATAGAGAGAGTATTATGCTCACAACAAAGCACCGTTTTAGGTGTATCTGTTGTAGAGAGGTTATGATCAGAGGAAAGCTCTGTTTTAGGTGTATCTTGTGTAAAGAGTATCCTGATCATAAGTAAACACTGTTCTCAGTTTCAATGCTATAAAATATTATCATTGTTATAAAGACATCATAAAACGAAAATCACATACAAAAATATGACTGGAATATTAAGAGATTTGTAGTGAGAAAATGTGGAACTTTACGTCTGAAGTTCTAAGATATTTTAGATCATGAAACTGAGGATTTGTTTATTTTGAACGACAATAAGCGATCAACTTGTCCATTGATGTAAATATACATAAATCTCTGTGTTAAAAATATTGAAATCCGTTCTTGTATTATTGGAACTTCTTCCTGTACGATACTGCGATTTCGAACGATAGGCAGCATTGTTGTTTTTGGAGAGTAATATTTTTCTGAGAAAACATAGATATTGATTTCTATAACTGAACTCTGACGCAGCAAATATTTTATTTGATCTACAGGATACGAAGCTTGTGTGCCAAATTTGGGACTTGCTACACCAACACTTATACAATTTGAAAGACGAATACGTATAAGGAAAGAAAACAGTTATAGAATAATTATAGAAAAACACATGTATGTCAACGTCGGTCCTCTTAGCAACAAATTTCTAAGAAAATGTTACACAAAATAGTTCCTTTGGCAACAGGTTTCTTAGTGCATATTACCAAGACAGATTTTAGCAACGTATGTCGGAAGGCCTATTACACAAGCCAGTTGCAGGAGGAACAGATTTTTGAAAGCATGTTGCGAAAAATTAAACATCGAAAAATAGTTTTGGCATGTCTGACGTACATTTGTGACTCACACACTGGTCAAGAGGTTATTCCAGTTTCCCATCCCCATGTCCTTTTGTCGCTAGTGAAGGACACACGTTTATATATCCCAAGAGCTCGAGCTTCTATTTGCTAACAGACGGTTAAAATAGTATAAAAAAAGTTGCCCGTCGTTTTCACCTTGAACTATGTAAAAGTAACAATGAAGAAGTTGATTTAAGTTGTTTTAGAAACCATAGATTAAAACAATAAGAGAAGGGGATTAACACTATCACAACCGACTACCGATTGCTAGCTTCCGGGATGCGGGCTACAGTTGCTGCCATGGAAACCAACGCAGTCAATGTAGCTTCATCCCTGACGCGTGTGGCACCACTTAGAGCTATCCATTTGGCGACGGATAGTGAGAGGCAGCAGAGAGAAGGATGCGGAAAACGTTGAGTAATAAGATCGCTTTCTCGCCACTAAATATAGCTCTTACAAGAATTGAGAAGGCTTTGCGGGTTCTAGGGGACGTCGCCTTGACTGATTAGGGCAAGGTACGATGTTCACCCACTTCACATATCCCCGTTTTTGGAGGATAGGATGAAACTCTGCCAGTAGATAATACAGACATCTGCCATGAGGACTACATTCCCTTTATTTGGACTTCTTAGTTTCCAGCCTTAAATTCCTGAGTAGCTCCACGACGAGGAGTGTGTGTGGTTTATAACGAGTAGGTAGGTTTTATCATTTCGTACCCAAAACTGTTAGCCGACAAGCCAGTAAGCTTCACTATGATCATCATATCCTGTTAGGCTTAGCTCCATTACATCGTTCGTTACGTGTGTAGGCAACTCGTCGGAATAACAGTTCATAAAAGAATTGGTAAAACTTCAACTTCTTCTCACAAATTGTGTTGGTTTTTAATCCTCTTATTTACCAAAATGTCGCATCTGAGAACTAAAACATCTTTTTGAAGTTTGATTTCTAAAATGGAAATAGAAAATGTTATAATACGTGTGACAAAACAAGGAATCATTTTATTATTATTTTTAACCCCCAACAGTGCTAAGAATATTCCAAAGAGGCAACACACCGGCATATTATTACAAGAAGTTACAACAAAGAGGAAGCCATCTTTTGACGTCACCGTGCTTCAAGGTCAGGAGAGAGTAAGTATAAATCTGTGTAAGATCCGATATCATTAAACTTTCCGGTTTCTAAATGACAAGATGATTACATTTCACATAACTGCACATTTCCTAGCAACGAAGGGTACCGGCAGCTAGAAAACTGTCAAAATAATGTTTTCAGTGTCGTCACAACAGTGAAGTAGCACGCTTGCGCTTTACACAGTTATTTCTACACTTAACAACAATCCTCCAAGTAGTACTGTTTAAAAAAAAACAGATTTGTATGCAATCTGAAACTGAACCCACAACTCATGTTTTCTGTGAGGTATAATTGAGACTAACACGTGTTTTCTCTGATTTGAAACTGAGTCCTCAATGCATGTTTTCTGTAATGCGAAACTAAGTCCTTATCTCGTGTTTTTCTGTGTGTTAAGAATGAGTGGCGTAATTTTGTCTAAAACTTAGTCCTAACTTTTCGTTTTTCTATGATACGATATTATAACTGTAAACACGTTTTTTAGAACCTAAAACTGAGCATAAAAAGGTGGTGCCTTAAAAACTATCGCTTCTGTATCATTACATAAATGTGTTTAGTAGGAAGATCAAAATAATCTAAGGATATATGTGTTTAGTAGCAAGATCAAAATAATCTCAGGATATATGTGTTTAGTAGCAAGATCAAAATAATCTCAGGATATATGTGTTTGATAGCAAGATCAAAATAATCTCAGGATATATGTGTTTAGTAGCAAGATCAAAATAATCTCAGGATATATGTGTTTAATATCAAGATCAAAATAATATCAGGATATATGTGTTTAGTAGCAAGATTAAAATCATCTCAAGATATATGTGTTTAGTAGCAAGATCAAAATAATCTCAGGATATATGTGTTTAGTAGCAAGATCAAAATAATCTCAGGATATATGTGTTTAGTAGCAAATCAAAATAATCTCAGGATATATGTGTTTAGTAGCAAGATCAAAATAATCTCAGGATATATGTGTTTAGTAGCAAGATCAAAATCATCTCAGGATATATGTGTTTAGTAGCAAGATCAAAATCATCTCAGGATATATGTGTTTAGTAGCAAGATCAACATAATCTCAGGCACAATAAAACGATTTTGATCCATCCGAACAGACTATTTGACAGACACAACACAAATCTATTCGTTGTATAGATCAGCTAGATTTTCACATTTGAACTCTTTCTGTCTACCATCCTAAAGTAAACCACAATTTACCAAATTAATAAAAATAAAGTATAAGGTAATATTAATACTTTCATTAAAATTTCTATAATTTCATTATAAATCTGTAAAGAACATTGTGTTACAAAACAAGGTATCTGTTTTTCATGTAAAAAACAACAAAATATACGTCTTTGTTTCGAATATTCGCACAAAGCCATACAACTAATTTTGAACAGATAGACTACAGGGAAAGCAGCCAGTCAACGGCATCCACCGTAAGCTCTTGGGATATTTTAATAGTGGCATCTGGCTGTCACTCTTATAACGCACCCAGTGCCATAAATTCTAGATGCGATTTTGCTGTAACGGACGCGAACCGTCGATCTTCGAATTCTTTGCCCGTCCCAATAAATTGCCAATCTGCTTCAAGTTTAAAATATTTTTTTTTACTGTCACTTTAATATTGGTGTTTGAACCTCAAGTTTAAAGTAACTGTACTTGAATAGTAAAATCCTGAAAATGTGTTGTTGCTTTTTTAACTCTGTGCTTGGAGTGACAGATAAACGTATACATGTTACATGCATACATAATATTCTTTAATATAATAACCTTGCATTATAGTTTTAATTTTTTCTTTGGATTACAGATAGTTCAGTATGTTTTAGCTTAGAATACTTTCCTTAAAATAAAAGATTGCTTTTCTGAATGTCTATCATTAGAACGTTTCATTTTATTTTTCAGATTATTTTGCTCATTTTGTTTCATTTGCTTAAGCTAACTAATGACAAAATGAGGTTGCATTTTGCTGTTGTTATTATGGAGAGCATGAGAAGATCTGAAAAGGTTTGCACAATCACACAACAGTATGTTATTCCTTTCTTCTTTTTTTTTTTTTTACAACCACAAACTATCTCTTGAATAAATAATCAGACAACAGTATTTTTTTTTCTATCGTAAAACGTCTTTTGAATATCACACAATAGTAAGTATTTACCTACTGCAAAATAGCTGTTTAGATTAAACATTTTTATTGTTCTTTATCTTTGGCTTAAAAATACAAATTAGTTAAATTTTGATTATTTAAAAGAGCGTAAAACCAGCGCTTTTAAAGAAGTCTCAGTGGAAATATCCGATTAAAGTTTAATTTATAGAACAACAATCGGCTGTTGGAAGATATTTTGAAAGAACTTCGATGTCTTTAGATTTCAGTTTCTACAAGTTTTCACCAATCCTTAACTTATTTAATTTCTGACAATTGTTCAGTATCTGCCAAATTTTGCATCATTCTCAATTTAAATAACCAATCACACAGCAGTTTCCTTATCTATCACGAGATAACTGTTTAAATAACCAATCACATAACAGTTTTTATCTAATGTAATACAACTATTTAAATAACCAATCACACAACAGTTTCTTTATCTATCATTGAATAACTGTTTAAATAACCAATAAAACAACATCTTCTTTATCTATAACAATGTAATTATTAATTAAATAATCAATCGCAAAACTGTTTATTACCTATTCCTAAAAAGTGTTTATATAACCAATTATTCAATACTTTATTTATATTTGCAAAATAATTTTTCAATTACTAATCATACAGTAGTTTGTTCTTCAAGATAACTGCTTAAATAATTTATCATTCAATAGGTTATTTATCAATCGCAAGATACTGTTCAAATATCAAATCACACAACCGCTCTGTTAACTTTTGCAAAATATCTGTTCAAATAATCAATCAAATGATAGTTTTTCATTTAAAACTTGTTATAATTCAAGAATACTGTTGTTACTGCATGTTGAGGTTCACGTTATGATATTGTTTAAAACTGATGTTGTAAATAATCAATTAACGAAAATAGGTAAGCTTTAAATTTTCTGAAATTTTGTAAATAACTGCTTTTTTGATCTAAGATATAAGAATGATTTAGGTTTGAAAATAGTTTTAAGATACGATGAGCAGTTTATATTAAGTTTTTTTTTATTTCTTAGAAATAGCTAAGGAAATGTACCTGTCACACATAACTTAGAAAAAACAAGAAATAAAGAAACCGACGTTAAGTTCGTCTGCTAAGAAACCTTTTATACTAGCGTAGAAGTAGCGCATTAAAGAGTTTTCAGTGGAAATTTCTGGTCAGAGTTTAATTTATACAACAACTATCGATTGTTGAAGGAATTTTTTAAACAACCTCAGTGTCTTTAGATATACCCAAATTTTCTATTTGCCATCGAATTTAAATATCCTTTTACTTTGAAACAGGAATGGCACTAGTCTTTCCGTTTTGAACCACTTAATGGATTTTGTGCAGCCCTGTCTGGCATATAAAAAAAAACATTTCTACAGGCAGTCGTATCACTGTTATTAGTTTACCATTAGTAAAGTTGTTGTTAAGGTTATTTCTGTTGTTTTGTATATTACAAATGTGAGAAAACATATTTACCATATATTAAACCCAGTGTGTGTCACGTCACGCTTGATTTCTCCTGATTTCTTGAAATAGGAGGAGTCATAAAAGCCAAAATGCATTTATCTAGATAGAATAGTTCGATTACTGTCTGCCCATTACGATTTTAGTGATGGGGGTGCAAAGGGGCCGTGAGAGGGGTTGCCGTGAAACCTTATAAGTGTAATGAGTGTTGGTATAATAAGCCTAAAATAAAGACGTAGTGTGGGAACATCTAGTCTAGAGACATGTGCATAAACTTTATCATGAAAGTAAAAATATCGATTCAATTTTAAATTTAATTGGATTAAGCTATTTTCTGTTATATCACCAACGCTTTTAACAAACAACAAACCTCTTTAATCAACGGAGACTCCAAATTAAGAAATCAACAAATATTTTTCCAGTTTTGTTGTCTATATATTTCATTTTACACTTTCAGTACATAGTATAACAATAATATTAGTTTATACTTTTGTTGCTAAGCGATATGACATAAAAACCTTTGTTAGAGAACGTAGTGTTACCAAAACGCACTGGATTTTCTATATATTAGAACTTGTAATCTAACTGATTTTTACCAATAATTATTCTGTGAATACGCAATAAATTCATTTCATGAACGATCTTAATTTTGATTGGCCCACAAAGGAATTTACCGACGTTTGACTGCCTCGACTGCACTTTTCTA